AATTTAGAAAAATTAAAAAAAAATGTTAGGTGGTAGGGGTAAACAAAAAAATAAACAATAAAAAATTATTTTAAATTATAATTATAAAGTACTCTTAAAGCCATTCAACTTTTATTCAGAACATTTTTTTCTATTTCTCGTAGTTTCGATGATATTCGCATTGAAATAAAAAAACCGATTTTTTTCTAAGGGTTTTCATTCCTTAGAAGTGCGTAAGAGCACGAATATGCAGTAGCTTAATTCTTAGTTTTGTCTAGAGAATAACATATTAAAAGCTCATCAAAATCAGAGGGGAACACACTCTTTCCTTGTTAGATAAATGCCAATTGTTTGAAATTTCACTTGGATATCTTAGATCTAAGATTATTGTTAAAATTCTTTCCTTTCCTTTTCAATTAGTGTTCTAAAAATATAATAATTAAAAATATGTAAATCATACATATTTAGATAATGAACGAAATGAGTACCAATGAGACATTGGCCCCCTTTGAAGCTGAATATACGAGACTTTACGAATCCTTGTACAAAGCTCATAGAAATGAAAAGGAACTATCGGGACAATGTACGTTGCTTAAGGTAAAATAAAATTATATCAAAACTGATTTGTGCAAAAAAATTAAATCTAATTTTTCCTTTTTTTTTAACTCTTAATTCATCTTCTGATATATGGCAAGTGCATTTTCAGGATGAAATTCAGGACAACACATATAAAATATATGAGCTGAAAAAAACAGTGGAGACCCATGAAGACGAGATAATTGGATTGAAAGAAGAACTCACCAAAACGATAAAACTGGCTGATGCAGCACACGCGCGCGAGCAAAATGCACAGGAGGTGATTGAGAATTTGCGGCTGAATATTACGAAACTGGGTCTAGAAATCGAGCAAAAGAACAAACAATTGGCAACTGAGAAAGAGTGAGTCTATTTATATGAAGGACAGATAAAAGAACTTATATTGTGAAATATAATTGCAACGTAGTTAATAACGTAGCTTTAATCCAAATTATCAGATATTTTAATAATAATGTAAATTTTATTTTTCTTTTTTCTTTTTTCTCGACATATATACAACGATGTATAATATAACAAAATTATTTTACGAATTATGAGTTATTTTGGTTTAAAATTTTGCGAGCAGCTACTACCTTTTCAATTTCGGCCCTGCGATGTGGCCAACTTTTGATTTTCGCGTTGACAATTGACGTGTAATG